GGTCTAGAGTTCAGTAAAGCTATTTCACCAGCAAGAACAAGGATCATCTTAAAAAATATGACAGAACAGCAATGAGTAAGGAAGTAATATACTGCCAACTAAAGAAGTATAGCTTTGACTGTTTGCCTGTATCTTACATTTGGGGCTTCTCATGGAGCAAGGCTTAAATGAGACAACATGGAGAAATCATGTTCTAGCTATGACAAGAGTGAGTGGACCACAGAGGTTCAGATTTTGAGACCTAGAATTTAGACAATTTCTGTGGTGAGAAGTGAGAGTTTAGAAAAGTGATCCAATAGATCTAAATTTAATTAATCTGAGGTGTTTTTCTTCATTACCAATTCAGAGCTAATGAACTCTGCTCTAACAACTTCCTAACATAGCGGCAAAGTTCAAAAAGGAAAACTGTGTTAACTGTAAAAAACATGTGCAGTTCTATGACCTACAAGATTGAACCACATGGAATTACCAATATTCATCTGTTTTTTAATCCAAGAAACTGGCAATTTTACACAAATATTCTGGAAATTTGGATGATTTCTAAATCAAACTTAGAAATATGATATTTATCACATCTAGCATTGAGATTTGTATCCTCGACTCTCTCCTATATTGATGATCCTGAAAATATTGCTTACTTCATCCTCAGGTATGTGAATCTGAGAAACATTATTAAAGAAAATCAGAGCCAATTGAGCATTAAGTGATAGAATTTTAAACTGAAACCACAAGGATAAGTTCCAAATGACTGATACAGAAACAGAAAAATGGAAATAGATGCTTGCTTTTGTCTTTTTATTACAATTTTCTTAACTTATGAAGCACACCAGAAATTGCAGAAAACTGTATCTTCTAAATATGATTTTCATCTTAACAATTATGATTTGACCATAAAATCATAGGTATAGTTCATTGGGCCTCAGCTTCCCAAGCTGCAATATGAAGGTATTAGAACTATGGTCTTGAAGATCATGCTCTGCTCTAGTATTCTCTGACTTGTATCTAATGAGCTACAATCATCAAGTGACCATAAGAAGAATACACTTAGTACTCTCAGGAGATTACATATTTCTGTTAAAATGAGTTCATTCTGTAGAAACTCAAAAATAATTTTCCCTGAGAAATAAAGAGTTAGGCTAAGTAAAATTTTAACTGTAATGTTGGCAATATATCAGAATGGAATCCAAGGAAAATAAACTACAGAAAAAAAGATAGTATTGGTCTAAAATACACACACAAAAAGATTGCTATAAATGTCTTAAGTGGTTTCTGTAGAGCAAACCTAAGAGTTAATCTCCCTTGAAAATATAAAGTTAAGGCATCTAGTTCAAAAATTTGTCCTCCCACTAGATTCTGGCATCTATAAACATAACTCCGTGTTTATTTCAATGTGAGCAAATCAACCAAAATCATATTTATTTATGAATGGTAAAAAACCTACTTATACCTGTAACAATTTGATTCACAAAAACTCAGTGTAAATTTATCCTTCATAAAGCCTATGATCATGAAGGTAATTGAGAAGGAATTTTTGAAAAGGGGAAACCATGCACAAATGAAAATCAAGCAGAGAGAAAACACATCATGAGCATCTAATAGAAGTAATTAAATTTAAAATGTATTATTACCATCTTGTAGGAAGTATATTTCCTTCCCACTAATTTTTTATCTACTATAAAGATAAGCACAAAATTGATTCCTTACCAGGATAAAGTTGGTATAATGTTTTTGGAAAGAAAATCACAGGCTATTTAAAGGTATTTCCAAGCTAATTTGTTATTTTCAAATGATTGCCAGATAAATAGATTTCCATTTTTCTTTGACTAGTTATTCATGCTCTTTCTGGCAGATTTGCATGAAAATAAAAGCTGGAAAAAAAACTCAGCCGAAGAGTGCAGCAACTGGAGAATTTCTATAGATGCATATCAATCATTGGAAAGATTTATATATATATATATATATATATATATATATATATATATATATATATATAGTATAATGCAACTTAGACAAAATTAAACCAAATGTCTATATTTTGCAAAGATTACATTTTGCAGTCTGTTAGATTTTCATGCACAAGTTATCACATCTAAAGTTAGCTCTTACAAGACTGAGATATAACAACTCAAATACATGCAATGATACTATAAATGGACACCCCAGGTAATTATGAGTCTACTTGTTCTCACTATGAATCTGTGGCCACATATGCAAAAAGTGACTATGTATCTCTAAAATCTTCGGGCTTTTAAAATAATACAACTTTAAGTAACATTTTTTTTCTTTGATGAAATAGATTGTTTTATGAAATATGAATTGGAAAATAATTTCCCTTTAAACCAATGCCAGCCAGTCAGACAAAAAGCATGAGATAACTGATCATATGGGGAACACCAGGCAATGTATTCTCATATACAAATACAGATAGCAATTGTCCTGGACTGACCGAGGTAGATCCTCCTGGCTTATTAAGTCTCTAATACTATTATACCAAATGATTCCCCTTATTGTATGATCTAGAGAAGCTGTTTGAAATTGTTCTGATTTACATGATGCTGAGAATAAATATTCAGAGCTTTCTTAAAATTCAAAAGGTGCTCTGGTTATGAATTTTATCACTAAATTATAAAGCTATAAAAAGTAAGAATCTCTATCTTTCTCATGTCCATTCTTAATGCTTTCATGCAACATATATTCGCTGATAGTTTGCTATGTGAATCAAATCAATTATTCCAGTCTTAGCTGATAATGGGGTTGCATCATTTTGAGTCTGGAAGGGTGTGCCTAACCTTCTGGGACAAAATAAATCTCTTATAAAGGCTGCAGTTTTGTTAGATACTAAAATGTTACCTTAAAAGTCACTTTAAAATTTCATAAAACCTTTTAATACCTCTCTATTTTAGAATATACATTTAGCTTTAAAATATTCCTATTAAAAACTCTGAACCTCAAGAAGGAACAGGCACTTACTAATCTAAAACAAGTCCTGTAAAAGACAGTGAATGGGCCAAATCTGGTCTATAAGTAAAGAATGTATTTTACATTTTTAAAAAGTGGAAAAATTCAAAAAAGAAGAATATTTAATGATGTGAAAATTACATGAATTTCAAGTTTCAGTGGCCCTAAAGGTAAGTTTTGTTGTAACAGCTCCTCACTTATTTCCATATTGGCTGCTGTGGCTTCTATACTACAATAACAGAACAGGGGTAGCTGCAGGAGACCATATGGGCCAAATAGCCTACATTATCTACTATTGGTGTTGTAGAAAAGAACTTGCCAACTCTGTGCTAGATGGTCAGATCTCTTAAACCACACCATTTAATAGGTATCAATTTGGCCTGACAATTCCCTTCCTATTAACTAGAGAAAAGAGAATCATAAGCAACTAGGTCAGCATGATATGCTACCGTGTCATTCTGGATATTTTTTACTGAGCCAAACATATACAGAGTGAATTGGAGGTGATTTAGGAGAGTTTCATAATACCATGATATGACACAGGGAAAGCTTATTCCCTCTATGTTTGTAAGGGATGTTACAGGTATGTTTCCTTCATCCCTGTTGAATGAGTTTATAAGAACTTGCATATATTAACATATATTCTAAAGAATCTATTGGATTGGTGGTGGGAATTTTGTCTTTAACTTTGTATTCTAATTCTCCTTTGTAATACTCTGTGTCTTCAAGAAACCCCGTGATTAGCCTTTCCACTCAGCCTTATTTAAAACATTGGAATTATGATTTGCCAAATTCTCAAGCTACAAGTAAATGGTGAGCTCCTTCCAGGCAAAAAGCTTCTTAAACAGTCAAGAGCCTGAAGTCCTTTAAAGAAAGAGCACATCTTTCTATACTTCCACTACCAACCCCAGGCCCCACAGCCAACAAGGCTTAGAGAATGCCTTCTGCCTATGAGAGAAGCAGTTCAACATCCTCAACTGCAATTATTGATATGTTGATTAAAAAGAATAACAAACCCTTCTGATTCTACTTTCCATAGCTATCTCTAATCAGAAAAAAATATTATATATTGTTTATGTACATTTCTACTGTAGAAGATAACATTTGCCTTTGGCAAAATTATTTTGTTTTCATTTTTTTTTTCCTGAAGAGTAGAGTCAAATGTTTGAATTACTCAAATGGGCAAAAATGTATACATTTTATATATAACTACTAAAATTCTGGCAATACTTCCAGTACAGACATGTGATTATTCTTAATCATAGAGGGCTAAGTATAAGCAAAGTCCTGATTCACCAACTTCCCTTCCTTTTATAAAAGCTGTTCTATTCTTGTTAGTCATAAAACAATTATCATCATCAAAGATCCAAGAATCAAGGTAAAATTTATATATATTACACCATATATTTATACAAAATCTGGCCCAATTTATACAAAAATATATTGCTGGAAGGCAACCTAGAACAGGGACACTAAACATGGCAATATGGTGTGACTTTGTTCTTCTGCATGCAGTCATTTTCCCAAAGAACGTGCACTGGGCTTCAGAATTCTTCCCAACACAGCACTCAAGGAAGCCACTTACAGTAAAACCTATGTGCTATCCTTACTCCATGGTGGTTTTCCCAAATGTGGGTACAACCCAGGAGAGGTACAAGATAACTCATTGGAGTGAGGGAAGACTACATGTTTTTAAATATACACATTATTGCTCAAATTTTGTGCATAGTCAAAATTCTTATATTGACAGATGTCTTTAGATAGGGATAGAGAGAAGAGAATTAACTCTGTTAGTATGAGTCTCTTTGTAATTCAGTTGAAATAATTTGAATTAAATTTCAGAATATAGGTGGAACTTCTCAAAGGGAAGGTTATAATAAGAAGTATTAGAAGGTGGCTGAAACTACTACCCCACACTAGCTCATTTGATCCTATCATGTTCTGCTGTCTCACAACCTTATCTCCTACATTGCCCACTGATCACATTAATGCGATAGTCACTCTCATTAATGCCTTCTAAAATGACACATGGACACACTCACTGTTTTTGAAGTAAATGCTGGTGCTGCTGCTGCTGCTGCTGCCTGTATGTTTCAATCGTGTGCTGGGGAAGGTACTGCATGAGTTCCAGGGATTCCTTGATTTTCAACAGCATTTCATATGTCTCACGGCCCCTCACCTAGGTGAACAAGAATAAGGAGAAAGGGGAAAATGAAGAACTCTGGAACCACTGGGACTGACAATCCCCATTTTTCATGGAGTCTATGTTGATGATTTCTCCTACTTGCAAACATTTATAACATGAAAATCAATACTTCTCAGCACTTAGTGTTAATTGCAGCCATAAGCAGAGTAACAAATAACTTTAACTGCCCATGCATGTTCTAGCTGCCTCTTGGTTTCAGTGCTCATGCTGTGAATAACTATCTTTTCTGGGGTCTATTTAGTGTCACACTTTTTCATTGTGTGTGTGTGTGTGTGTGTGTGTATGTGTGTGTGTGTGTGTGGTGAATTTGCTGTTTAAAAAGTCCCTGAGTATAGTGCTAAAGTACTGTCTAGTGCTTTGAGTGCTAGTATAAAGGCTGCGATGTCAAAATACAGGTTAGATAAGTTTTGTTTCAGCATGATTATAGTGACATTGGCTGTGAATTCAATGTTAATGAGTCAACAGTATATATTAAATAAGGTATCTTTCAACAGAAACATGCAAAAAACAGGGTTACATATTGGTCAGTTGCTAAAAGTGCTGTGACCAGAGAGGCTCAAAGAAATCTGATCCTGTATTTCCCCTGGGAACAATGGTTCTTTCACAACTGAAATTTCATTTAAAAAGAGCTTTTCAAGTGGTTTCTATGTCAGCAGCTAAAAACATTCTAGGTTTTTTGGTGTATAGTTGACCATTGAACAACATGGGTTTGAACTGTGTAAGTCATATACTTATACACAGATTCCCCCCCCCCCCAATAAATATGCAGTCAGTCCTCTATATCCCTGGGCTTCATATCCATGGGTTCAACCAACCTCTAATGGAAAGGAGTATTTTTGACCTGTGGTTGGGAAACCCTGGATGTGGAAGGCAGATTCTATGCATTGCCATTTTATACAAGAGACTTGAGAATCTGCGGATCTTGGTATCCTCAGTGGAGAGGAGGAATGACTATATTTAGTATATCAGGGTAATGTTTAATTTGAAGTTCACATGTCAGATTCTATATGTAGCCTGAGAAACACTACACAGAATCTTAGTTAACTCACTGTCTGATTGTTCTACCAATAAGAAGTTGATTTCCATGATGGTCAGGGCCCAGAAAAGGTGGGGAACAGGTGTGGCACACCCAAACCTGTTGAATTGCTTTTACTTCCATCCCAAGGTGGCAGCTCCCAGTCAAACCTGGCTTTGTTTACCTTTGTCTCCTGTCACTTTAGATGGCATCAAGGGCTATACTATTTACCAAAACTTTGCTGCAAGTCTAGCTGCAAAGACCTAAAGAAATAAGATTTCAAGAAAAGGCAACCACAGACTAAAACAGGGCACCTTAGGCATATTGAGAAGACTAATGGTTACTTGTAGGAATGAACAATGTTCCTAGACAGTGGATGGACCGAGTCTTCTGGCCATTCACAAATAACTGAGGATTCTGTCTTGCTGGGCTTTCTTTATAGTAATCCCTAAAAGAAATCACAGTCAATTCTCTATGAATGTTGCCTGATAGATTTTGTGAACTCCTTCTGATGAAATTTTAGTGCTAAATTGGTTCAGTCATACTGTCTAGGAATCTTATCATCTATAATAATAAAAGGGTAATATGCTAATTTGACCAGATGTCCTTCTGGTGGTCATTCTGGACAAAGCCAGGGCCAAAGGGAAGCCTGGGTCCTGCGTGCCTGCTGGCAGCCAGAACAAAGCCCAGGTTCCAGGTACCTGCTGTTTGCCTGAGGGAAATTATATATATAATTTAATATAATATAATATATATATATATATATATATATATATATAATATGTGTGTATATATATCTATATATAAAATTTGTTTTATCTCACTTGTCCCCATTACCCTTTTTTCATTGTGGTAGATAATCAGAATATTTGCACAGCATGCAAAAGAATATTCAAAGAAAGTGAAAATGAAGTAATCATGAATACCCAAGGGAGACTAGACTCACTGGTAGGTATAACAGTTCATCATCAGGGGATCTTCGTTTCTTGATGGATGTCATCTGGATGCCATGTGTGTTCTGACGAAAAGCTAGTGAAAAAGAAAAGCAAGCTTCATCCTGGGAACATTTCTGAAGCAATAACACATTTACTAAACAGACAATAGCACCAGCAACACCTATGAGATTATAGTTTCTAGTTCTAAACAGCCACTTAATTGTGATGATTGTTTTTGTATTAAGTGCAAACCTAACAATAATGAGGTGGGGTTAAGTGAGGGACAACAAGTGAAAGACAGGGTTTTGGGAAGCTGGGAAATGGCCTGTGGCTTCAGTCATGCTGCAGAAATCCCTGTCTTACCGGTCAATGTCTGAATAGCTGTTAAAGAAAGGAAGATAAATTGGTTTTGTGTTTTATGTATCGGGTCATTGATCTTCCAAGGTGATAAGTGCATATTGTAGAGTTTGTCTTGCCTATGCCTTCAGCCTGTGTGCTCATCCCTCCCATGTCATACATACATCATATAACTTCTGACAAGCAGTCTCATTTTCCAGGACCTCAGTTTTCTCTTCAGTAAAATGAGCGAATTAAGCTTATAAATCCCTCTGGTTTCCAAAATTAGAAACTACGTTTAGGATTCAGGGTATAGAGATGATCCTCCTACCAATGTTCACATAATTCATTCTTACTGATAGTCATTAATTTCTAGGCAATTGAGGTGCTCAGGAAAGAACTTAGGAACTAGGCCACCAGGCAAACTGAAGAGCAAAATTAAGATTGAAATAAAATTTTATTGATATTATTTAATTAAGGTGGAAATATTCTATTTAATATTATATTAACATATTCAAAATAATTTTATATATAATTCAAATATAATTCAAATATATTTGAGGGATAATCAGAGAGAAGAAGAGCCTAGCAGAAAGAGCAAATCATACTGAACAGTTAGATACTGATGGTGACTAGCTGTTATAGCTAGCTGTGATTCTCCGGTGAAATACAGCGTACTTTCAATTTCTTTTGGACACTAATTAGTAATAAAATTAAAACAGTATCACATGAAATAAATTACAGTGTGGTATACTTTAAAATACTTGTGGTGATATCAGACTTATGTGAGACACCTTCTAGAATCAAATCTCATAAGTCAGAGGCACTTGTGGATCTGTTGTTTTCACCCTTGGTGTAGCTGGAGGGCTAAGCCTCAGTGGGGTGTATCTCAGGGATGGTTGCGAGTAGAGCACGGGGCCCCAGACCACCCCTAGCTCCTGTTCCTTTCAACTAGAGCCCCTCTATTTCCATATATTTTTCACTGTGGGTTTCATTTATGAAAGAGATTTTCTGCTTAATAAAACAATTGAACAATTAACCTCACTACTGATAAGGTGATGGAGGCCTCAATTTGAAGACTCCAAGAAAACAGATCTGTATCTTCTCCAGATGGTGCTTTACAAGGTGTGTTCTGAAATATAACTGTCCTCATAGACTCATGAGATTGGCAGATGTATTTTCAGCCCTCATGCTCAGTAACAGAAAGATTGGTAGCCAGAAAGACACCAATTGGCTAAAATACAGATTCTCAGACTTCAGCGAGCATTAGTCACCTAGAGCTCTTACTAAAACACAGATTGCTGGGCCTCCCTCCCAGAGTTTCCGACTCAGCAAGTCTGGGAACTGAAAACTTGTGTTACTCCCCAGTTCCCAGAAGATGCTGATGTTACTGGTCTGGGAGCTACATTTGAGGATTGCTAGACTAAAGAATCCTCACAGTGACTACTTGTTTTTGTCAAGCTGGAGTGCACACTTCAAGTCCATTTGAATACCTCCATCCACTGGCGCTGGGGCCTGCAGTCACTTTTGCCCCTGGAGACCCTTGGTCCTATGATACTGTTTCTCAGCTATTAGCCCCAGCTCCTCTATCTGGGTAAGACTTTACCCTCCTCCATTTGGCCACTACAGCTACTTACGGCGCTTCGTACCATCACCGTTCTTTGTGCTGTCCGAGACCTGCTGCTTTCTGATGCTGTCTTCATCAGCCTTCCTGTCTCTCCCTGGGCAAGCACAGATCCGGGCCTCAAAGCAACGTCGGCCCAGGACTTGCCCACTAGGAATTAGAGAAAAGAGGAGGAAAGGGTCAAAGTGAAAGAACTGTAAAAGGTCCCTAGAATTCTCCTATTTCTACTGCTGGTCATCACCAGTGCACCACTACCACCATCTGCCAGTCATGGCTGCTTGGAGGGTGCACCCCATAGCATTTGGCAGAACACAAAAGTGCTTACATGCCACCAGCAATAATAGTAAATAACATTCCATTTGTTCTGCAAAGAACCTCCAAGCCATTAGCTGAACAGCTGTATTTAGCTACATATTTTGAAGGAAGCTTGAATTAAGCCCATGGATGTCTCTGGATAAAATTCCCTGAGGCAGCCCAGACTTACTCAAAGAAGTTGTTAAATGCCTTGGGGGCCACATGAAAACAAACACTGTCTAATCAGAAACCATTCCAGCTAAATGTCAAGAATTCAGATATGAAGCGACTTGCATGCCTTCCCTCTTTCTTCCCCTCTGTGTTTACCCACCCTGCTTTGTCTCCACTTTCTTAGATCTTTTATGTAAGTATTTGCAGCAAGGATTTAAAGCACAAAGGATAAAATCAAGGGTGGCGCTCTGCTCTACATGCACAAGTAATGATAAAGCAAACACAGTTTCACTTTGCCCTCTGCCCATGGTTTCTGCAGGATGGCAATTCTGCATATGTCACTTACTCTCTGGTTTCCAGAGTAACAATGATTAAAATTGGACGGCGGTTCATCCCTCCAACACAACTGCTGTTACACATGAAATTGTATAAGACTGTAGTGAATTCAGTGCCAACCTGAACAAGGGGAAAAAGAGTCCATTAATAACAATTTGATCAAATGTTCATCCTTCTCAGCTCTTCCCTCTATTTAAATATATTTTTATTGCTTTTTTACAGAGAGGAAGAGAGAGGGATAGAGAGTTAGAAACATCGATGAGAGGGAATCATCAATCAGCTGCCTCCTGCACACCCCCTACTGGTGATGTGCTAGCAACCAAGGTACATTCCCTTGCTGGAATCAAACCCAGGACCCTTCAGTCTGCAGGCCGACGCTCTATCCACCAAGCCAAACCAGTTTCAGCTCTTCCCTCTATTTAGACAACTTCATTTTTGATGAGATGATGATGCTTTCTCTCCCCCTCTCCCTCCAATAAAATCCACTGTCCTTTCTCTTTGGCTTGCCTCTAGGTAAGCTGAAAGCTAATGTTTGCAACATTGCACACTTCATGAGGGAGATGGGCCAATTTAAATGGGTTCATCCCATATATGAATATCACTGAAAAGGGAGAGTTGAAAACATCACCAAGAGTAGCAACTATGATCCATGGATATTTTTCCTATGTGGGTAAAACAGAATAACATAGATTTGAAGAAACACTTTCATAAATAACAGTCTGGAGCTTAAGAAGTCCTCAGCATTAAATCATCTAGTCCAAAGTGCTCATTTATAGATGAGGCAGCTAAAGTCCAGAGAGGAAGAATTAAAGTTAAAGGTTCAGCAAGCAGCAGCCAACATGCTCATCTCCCTCTTCTAGGGTTCTGTGTTTCTAATCTGCCACCTATTCATTCCACCTTCAGCTAAGAGAGCCCTCTCAGGTCCCCGTGTGCAGTGTAAAAATCCTTGTATCCAATATGGCTGCACATTCACTACCACCTCAATTGCCAGTTAAATTCTTTGGGTAAGGTAAGGTCATGCTTTTAACTCAATAAGCAAATTCAATTATTATGAACAATTAAGATGGGAACATGGGCACAGAGCCATGTTATCAAGCTAATTTAGTGCAAATTGAGTTTTAAAGGAGGTATAGGAGCAGTGTGTAGAGAAAGAAGAGATTAAACAGGTTACATATATGATAATAAGGACTAAGATAGAAATAGGTGCTCAAAGCACCTTGTATCACGGAATTAAATCAGCTCCCAACACAGCCCAGTCCATATTTTTTACCTGGGGTGGCTCATAAGGTACCAGCACACTCTGTCTGCCTGTGATGGGGTCTTCTACATACTGGGCATGGCTGTTCCCTTCCACTCGAATCAAATGACTTGGAGGGGCAATCTGTCCTGCAGAACAGAGAAAGACAAAATAGTTAGTTCTTCACCCTTAAAGAAAACAAAATGAAACATCACAGACAGGATATTGGTTGCCAAAGAAAGCGTTTAATAGAGGAAATATATATCCTTGAAAAAAGGAAAAAGATCCTGTTGCCAGATATCTAACCCATGAAGGTGTCTCAACCTTTATAGTGAAAGAAAGGACTGGAACACTCAAATATATTTAAGAGAACAATCCTATTTGCAGTGTTTAGGTTAATAATTCAAGATTTAAGATAACTCTATGAATACATCTCTGACTAGATCCATAGAGAAGATTTTGCTAGTTTATAAAAAAATAGAAGAAAAAGAAACAAGTTAATTAAAAAAAAAGCACTCAGTAAGATATAAAGATCATGTAACATATAAATTCACACCTGAAACTAATATGCTCCTATTAACCAAAGTCCCCAATAGATTTGAATTTTTTAAAAATCTTGATAAATCATATTCAAAAATTGAGCAGAAAAAAAAACATGAAAGAAAGAAAAGGCAACAGATGGCAAGGACATCACTTTCCCTTTGCCTATTTTTTTCTCCATCAGAAAGTCTCCAATTTTAGACCATAAAGATGATAAACTTACTGGTTTTGTTGTACACAACAAAACCTAAAAGAGCCCAAGGTTGGAGAATAAGAAAGGGAAAACATTTTTTTTAAAGACTGTAGCAAAGTTTCACAAAATTATGATATTGGACAGGGCTCCAAAAGAAAGAAGCTGATTAAAGAATTGGGAACCATAAAGGTGTTTTAACCTTTCACCATGCATTATTGTTCCACAAAAACTGATCTATAATAATAAAAAATGTAATATGCTAATTAGATAAGACATCCTTCTGGATGTCCTTTGGAATGACCTTCCAAATGAACTTCCAGAGGAAGCCAGGGTCATGAGGAAAGCCAGGGTCACAGGTGCCGGAGGGAAGATGGTGCAGGCAGCGGGAGGAAGGAAGGCCTATTCTTACATGAATTTCATGTAGTGGGCCTCTGGTATTTAATAATAGTGAAAAGTTAAGTGAGTCAAGATGCCCTCTGGAACATCATCTATTATTGCAAAAGTAAAAACAACTATTATGTCAAACATTGGGGGAGAAAAAACAATTATGTCATCTTGATGGATCAAGGGCAGTTATAAAAACCTATAATAAAGCTTAGCTATAAGAAATAATCTTTATGGAGTATTGTGAAGTGAAAAGCAAGATGCAAAGGTATGGTTGGATAAGAAGGTCATATAAAAATAGAAATCAATGTGTAAAACTTAATTGTGTTAAGGTAGGAATACTTAACTTTATTTTTTCATTTGAAATTTCTATTCATTCTTTTTTTTTTCTCCACTACTTTTTTCTGTACCATCCCTTAAATTCTTTACATTCACACATTCTAGTTATCAACCGATCTTTCCATTTTAAATACATTTTCTACATAAGTTGTCCACCCATCCTGCACCCTCATTATTATGATGAATCTGTGTACATTCTTCTATCCTTTCTTTCTACTTTTTTGTGTTCTTTACTTAGACTCTCTTCACAAAACCTTAGAATATCAAACATCAGGGAACCCTTGGAAACAGTAAGCTCTTTTGTAAAGCAATTGTTGGCTTGTGGCTCAGATCATGGGCATGGATACAGATCTTAAAGGTGGCCCCAAGGTATCTACTCCCTGACACCCAGTTCTTCACTCCACTGTTCCTCCCCAGCTTATTTTGCATATTTCTATTTACTTCTCTTGCCCATTATTTGTCTTTATTCATTTTTTCCCTACTTTTGTCTTCTGTTTCTTCATGTTGTTCACTTCCTATGCTCCTTCCTCTTACCCTCCCAACTCTCAATTGGTCAGGCCTTGACCATCTCTGGGAAGGCACTAAAGCAGATTACCTTGCCTGGACTGAGCAGACCAAATGACTGAATGCCACATTGTTCTTCTTACATCTTCTCATTAAAAAAGAAAAAAAAAAGCAATTGGGGAATAAAGAGACAAGTCCAGGTTATCCACTAATTAATAATATTAAATTAAATAGTTCAAGCATTGTAAATCATTGTGTAAGCCACAAATATATTAATCATTCTTCTCAAGTACTCAGTCACCAAAAAAAGATAGACTAAGCTGCCATCAGATTGCAGAGGGTTGAACCAGGTATATGGACCCCAAACAAAATCTCCACAGAACCTCTATTTTCAAGGAGCTTAGTTGTACAGCCAAAGAATCCTTTTCTCCTTACCCTCATTGAATTCCCGGCTCAGCTCATGGTTGGGGCACCTTTTCACCACCTCGGTGACATGCTCAGCTTTCTTGTAGACAGGCATGGCACGGATGACAGCACCCTGAGGGGGTGGGGTCATCACCTTGATCTGGATGGGGCATGTCTTGGCAATTTGGCAGTAGAGTTTCTTCAGTTCAGTGGAATACTGCATAGGGATGGTAGAAGAAAGAAAGAATCAACACGAGAAACTGTTACATCCCAAATCAAGGAAAATTATGTCCATCTTTTGCAGCCTTTATAGCTACATGTTTACCATTGGCTACTACATATATGACAGCAATTTTAATAGAGTTATATTCATTAATCCAACTAATTTTTTTCTAATTGAAATAAACCAAATATTTACAAAATATTTCACATTTTTCAAAACACATTGGTAGTATTACGTCCTTTTTTTGGGATGAAGAAACTGGGTCTCAGAGGGATTTAAATGTTAATATCATGAGCAACTTTTTAAAGTACTGGAAACTAAATGGAAAAACAATGTTCACATGAATTGAGTGATATTAGACAGATTATAATAAATCCTGTCCTTACAATATCTAAAAAGACTTGCAGGGATTAAGATTTTGGAAATTTTGTTTCTTAAAGATGAAATGTCTGGAAGAATGAGAATATTTTATCCAAAATCAACCTGCTAGGAAACTACAAAGCAAAAAATCCTTCAACTGCCACTAATGTTCTAATGTCATAGCCTAAGAGAAAGAAACATCTGGAATTGACCATTTGGTTTTATACTCTCATGAAAAAAAGGACTGGCCTAATGTAACAAAGCAAATCATGCAGCAAAAGGATCAAGATGGAGATTTTTCATTTTTCCATTTATGAGTAAATGAAACATTTCCTGCCCATACTTCCTTCTGCAGGGAGAGGAGTTCAGTGGTAGACTGGTTGAAATATAATAGGTATTTTAATAATTTTTTTTATATCCCAAGTATTTCAGTATATATAATTTTTAGTTAAAATCTTCCTAATATTAGTAGTGTATTGCATAATCAGTTCCCCACACCAGCTGATCAAGGATTAAATGCAGCAAAGAGTTTTAGATGTCTTGATAAAATGGAAAGTATGCCCAAAAAAACAATCATAAATATAAAATCCTGCTTGGGAAGCACTGATTTAAATCTAGATAGATTTTTTTTTCTTTAATGTTTTAAACCAATGACTTTAAAAACATTCTTTTAGGACAAGTTAAGAACCCACTTTTAATGAGAACTCCAAGAAAATAAAATGTATTTTTATTTGTAATTTAACCATGAGTTTCATAAGATGAACCTTAGGAAAGATGATTGAAAAGTATGTCTGTCAGCTAATTCCTGACAGCAAATAAAACATCCATCCAAGTATTTAAATATTGGGGTAAAAAAAAGTATGATATGTGTTCAGAGGAGGACAGTTAAGAGAAACACTCTGCTTTAACAATTAATATACAATAACTCAAACTTGACTGTATAAAATATAGAAGTACTGAGAATAAATGTAGGCCTTATCAGGTGTTAATCCTCACTTATCTTCAGGGATGGGAGAAGAGAATCAACTTTTGAACTTAAATAAAGATAAATAATAACAGGTTCTCCATTTTCTGAATTATTTTGTAAGAAATAAAATCCTCACATAACCCTATAATAGGGAAGGTGTTATAAATATATGATCTCTTATCTGAAAACCCTGGGACCAGATGTTTCAGAATCCATAGTCATTTAGATTTTAGAAAGGAAGTAAAGTTCCTATAGCAAATACTGTAAACAGCTCCATCAGGATTTAGGGCAATGTCCCATAACCAAATCTAAACATTTCTGTAAAATTCACGAATATACATATCATCTGGGAAATGACTATAAGAGCATCAAATTCAGATTAGATTTCAACAAGTGAGTTTAGCACAAACTTATGAAATTAAAACACAACCAATGTTGGTTTTAAGAGCTCTTTGAGTTTCAGAATTACAGATAACAAATAATGGATCCATATTTTTATGCCATTTTATAGGTAAAAAATTAAAGCAAAGAGAGGACTTTCCTGAGGTCACACGGAAAAGCTGGTTAGGAACCAGAATATAAGAGTCTGTCTTCCTCCAGTAATAGTCCATCATCTCTCTATTCTTATTCTCCAGGCTCAGAAGTGCAATTTTTGTACTTTCACATTTTTCTAATTCATAATTACATGGCTTTCTTTAAAAAAAATCAACTTAAAAGTGTACACTCTCCTTTTATAATACATTATAATAGAACATAAAAGTGGTCTACTTAGCATCAATAATTTCTCTTTTTATTTATCAATATAATGCTTGCTCATTTAATTGCAGGGAGAGGCAGCAAGTGATAGAAATGGAAAAAACAAAACAAAACAAACAAACAAACAAACAAAAAAACCCTGGAAGACACCTTGAACCCTAGGGCCAACTGTTTGTTAGAACTTCCATCATGGCACTGGGGGATTCACCACTTTGGTTCTGCTCCTGCTCTTTCACATGGTTAGTTAAGGTTCTTTGTGTTTTGGTCCCATCTCTTTCATTTCTACCACTCACCCCAAAACCTCACACTTCCCATTCCATGTTCTACCCATGCAAACCTCTGAAATGCCTCAAACACACACCATCCATCCATCACCCCCCAAATGAACATGCTATTCCTTATCTGGAATATTCATGGTTTCACAGGTCAATGCTCAACAACTGAGCTGGACTTCTTCAGTTTTAAATATTAAATATAATACTGCAGGGTGTATTGTGACCACATTACACAAATCTTTAGTACACCAGTTAGTTTTAGCTGGATCCCTTAAAACTAGGTATTTGAGTCAATGCATATTTTAGTGTTGTAGAGAAGTCTGAAGTAAATTAGAGAAAGAGTAAAATATAAACTACACAACTTCACTGTAGATAGCAGAAAGTGTTGTAGAACTCCACAAGAAAAGCAATTAAGTACTAGTTAATAAATTTGGTACTTATTGAGTGAAGACTTTATTCAAGGTTCAGATAATTAGCAACAAAGTCCATGCTCAAAGTGCTGGTATTTTGAAAAAACAAATAAATATGTCAGATGGTAATAAATGCTCTAAAGAAAAAAAAATCAGAGTAAATTTAAAAGAGGGAGTAAAAAGGTAGGAATTGGGGAGTTGAAGAGGATATTATTTTATCTAGGATAATCAATGATCTTTGATAACTTAATATTAAAAAATATCAAGGAAGTACTGGAATAATTCAGATATAAACTGGGGAAATAATATTCCAGTTACCAAAAACATCAGGTACTAAGATCCTGGGGTGAGTATTCCTGTCATGTAGGCCAGTGCCACTAGAGAGCAGTGAGCAAAGGCTACAGAGATGGGAATAAGATCAGAAATCAGAAACATTATGTGGGCCAGCTCATGGAAGGCCTTATTGGCCAAGGTTAAGGACTTCAGCTTTCCTTGATATGAGATAGAAAGCCACTGGAGAAGTTTGAGAAGGTTGAATTGTGTTTAATAAGATTTTGGATGTTATAGGAAGAACAAACTTTAAGGTTCAAAGATAGACACAGGGAGACTAGTAAAGAAGCTATGCAAATATCCCAAGTAAAAAATGAGAGAGGCTTAGACCATCAGTGGAATTGATTTCTCTGGTGAGAAGCAGTTGATTTCTTGATATATTTTTACCAGATTTGCAGATGGATTGGTTGTAGATAAGAGAGAAAGAGGAAAGTAAATATATTCTACTAAAGTAGAGAAGAAAGGCTTCATAGGGGTTAAACTAGGGGTTAAAAGACAAGTTGTTCAACCAACTAGATGGTGCACCCAAGAATGGAAAAAAAGGAGAACCAAGAGCCAGAAAACAGGTTTTTCATAGAAAGAATATTATAAGTATAAGCAAAGAGATGCTAACTATGGTTTACATACATAGACTGGGAGAAGGAGGAGGGGAAGGAAAGCAGAAAGCAATGAGTCCAAGCTAGAAAGGCAGGTACCAGATTCTGAGGAGTTTTAGATGTTACTACAAGAAATAGGTAGACTCTACCTGCAGGCAGAGAAGAGTAACTAAGTATTGTAAAGCATGGGGAAGACCTAATCCGTTCTATGTATTAATTAAAACAGAGCTTGTAGGAGCAAAGCTGGAGCAAAGTAGGAAGAAGCTAAACTTAATCAGGAACAAGAATGAGGAGAGCCTAGCCTAGGGCAGCAGAATAAATGAAAAGGTGAAGAGATGGAAGAAATGTTTTAGACTTACTAAAAGTCAGTCTACTAGTTTTTATCATGAAAGATACGCAGGGAAGCAACAAAACAGACCAAGCACTGTTATTCATTAGGGAAAAAAAAAAGATGTTTGCACAAATGTGCTATTTGCTTATCCCTTTTCTAAATCAAAGCAGAGTGAATGAGAGTTAGTTTGGGCTTCCAATAGCCAATAGCTAAGTGAGACATGTCTTAGTTAATGGACTAGTCAGCAAACAGAAAAAGAAAGAATAATTAGTTTTAATTCTGGATAAAGAAAATCACATGAGGTAACACTGGAATTAATAGGCCAATTTTGTTCTGAAAGAGGAAAGGGCTTAGTGCTCAAAGCCAAGAGCATTGGAAAAAAAACTCTTACCACACACTGACAGCAATAAACAACTTTACTGGACTAGGGGGTCAAAAATCAAGATTTAAATTCTATCTTGTATGTATTGCCTAGGCTTTTAGGCAGTCACTTCACCTCTCTCAAACCTAAAATAGAAATTATATATATATACAATATATATATACAATATATATACAATAGACAGCTCTTAGAATAGAGGAAAAAATATAAGTATCAGAAGTCTTAGTCAACTGCAAAGAGCAACATAAAAGCCACATATTATGGATAATTACTGGAGCCTCATCTTTCTAAGATTCTCCACATAAAGTGTTTAATGTAGCTTAAGTAATTTTGGGAGTATTGTGAAAACATTAGTGCAGCTTCATCAGGAAGTGGTTGCTGCCAGATAACAATAGTCTGCTGAAGTTTGAATATCAACCATTTACAATAAAACACATAGTTCATATTAATCTGCTAGTAATCACTAAGTTCTAAACCATGTAAATTATTGGATTCACTTGTTTAAAAAATGAATTTGGTGTATCTGCTGTTGTACATTTAAAAATGCACATGCATATTTCCATAAGTACATGTACTATAATTTTATG